CAGTCGCCGCATCTTCTCCGCGTCCCCGCCGCCTGCCACGCACCGCCAGATCAGGGTGTCACATCCCCCTGCCATTGCATCGCCTGCCACCGTGTCCCTCCACCACCGCCTCCCCCTGCCCCGGCACTACCTTCACCCCCCAGGCCGCTGAGGGTGTTGCCGAAGCCGGAGAGCGTGGGGCGGCCGGGCCGGGGCGGGGGGCGGCCGGTGGGCTGGGGGGACGCTGGCGCGGGTCCCTCGGTGCAGTCTGGGCCCGAGTATCCCTGGCAGCAGCGCCAGGCCAGCTCCGACACCGTCCGCTGGGCCACCTTGTAGCGGGGCCGCAGGAAGCTGCGGTACCTGTGAGTGGAGGGGACAGGGAGTTTGGGGGGTCCTGGGAGGGGTGCGGGGCTTCCCCAGGGAGCCAAACCCAGCACAGGCTGCGGCTTGACCCAGCGGCGCCTGCGTCTTGCTCAACAGCCGGCGGCCGGGGGGGCTGCCCCTGCCCCTGTCCGGCTTTGTCACCCCGTCACCAGCATCACCCTGTCCCCGGCATCACCCCAACACCGGTATCACCCCATCACTGGCCCGAAAAGCTGCACGGTGTGCCAGGGTCCTGGCTCTGCTCGGCCAGGGGGACAGAGGCCAGTCACCCCCCGGCACCACTTGAGGTCACTGGCTCTTGCGCAAAGGTAAACACGACCCCGGGGCGGGTAAACACCAGCGGCGGCAGCACAGCCGCGGTCAGCCCCGGCTCTGCGCTGGCCCCCCAGAGTCCCCCTGGAGACCCTCAGCCCCATCCCGGCCCCACTCACGCCAGGACCCGGGGGCACTGGAGCTGCCCCCAGGGGCAGGGCTGATAGTCCGGCTTGATGAAGCTCTCGACACCGTCCTCCACCACACAGCTCACACTGCGCGTCACCACGTAGGCACACCAGTTCCTGCCGGAGGGAAGGGGTCAGGGCACGCACCTGGAACGTGCCGGCACCAGGCATCGTCCTGGCACAAGCGAGGCATTGTTCAGGGATAGACCTGGCATGGTCCCGGCACACACCGGGTGTCATCCCAGCACAGCCCCGGCGTTGTCCTGGCACAGAGCAGGCACCAGCATGGACCTGGCATCATCCCAGCACACACCAGGCATTGTCCCGGCACGCACCTGGCACAGTCCCAGACCAGACCTGGCATCATCCTGGCACACAGCCAGACATCGTCCTGGCACAGAGCAGGCACCGGGCACTGCCCCGTCAGAGACCCAGCATCACGCCTTGCACCAGGCATCCCCCGGCACACACCGGCTTCCCCAGCAAAGACTGGTTCCACTGGGCACACACCAGATCCCCGGGCACACATGGGATTCCTGGCACATGCTGGCCCCCCGGCACAACCTGACCCCCTGGGCACACCCCGGATCCCCCGACACGCTCCTGTGCTCGCCCAACCAGCCCCACCGGTAGCACCGTCACAGCCCAGAGCGGCGGGTTAATGGGCCGGATCCTGCCCTCCTGCAGCCCCTCTTCCCTGCCCGGCAACCTCACAGGAGCAGCTGCAGCACCTGACCACGGGGCAGCCCCTGGGAGCCCTGTGGGGATAGGGGCTCTGCCAGGAGTGGGGTGCTGACACCCCATCACATCGTGCTGTGGCTCCCATGCTGCCTGGCACGGGCATCCTACATCCTCCGCCTCCCCATCACTGCCCTCGTGTCCCCTGTCCCCTCTGTGCCAGTGGGGCAGGAGCATTGGGGCAGCCACACACTGGGACTCCAACCCAGCCACAGACTGTGGGGATCCCTGCCTGAGGTGCAGGACCCCAGCCCAGCCCCACAGGTTGCAGGGACCCCAGCCCCACGGCGTGGGGCTCCAGCCTGTCCCCGTCGCAGCCTTATATGGTCCGAGCCCGGGACCCAGCCCGGCCCCCCTGACCCGTCCCCCAGCGGTCCCCCGGGGAGCGGTCCCCGGCCCTGGGACCCCGCCGCGGGGCCCCGGTGCGGCGGCCGGTTCCCGTCAGCCCGGCTGGTTCCCCTCAGGCCCCGGCTGGATTCCAGCTCCTCCCCGGGGGCCGCCGGGAATTCCTGCGCCGACCGACGGCCCCCCCTCGCCTCCCCCCTTCACTTCCCAGCCCCGCACCGGCGGGGCCCTGGGACCCCCCGGCTGCCCTGGGGTCCCACCACCCCGCCCCGGGGCTGTCCCCATCCCAGGAGTGGGACGGGACCGGAGCCCCCCCGAAAGGGCAGGACGTGGGGACAGCCCCGTACCAGCGAGCCACGGGGATGGGGCGCTGCACCCGCCGACCCGTGGGAAGCCCCCGCTGAGCCCCCAAAGCCGCAAGTAAAGGCTCAGCCGTATCCGTGCCCCACCAGGGAGCTGGGGGTGCCCGACCCATGGCCCCCCTCCCCAGGCACTCCAGGCTGGGGCCACGTCCTGCCACCCGCCGGGGCCGCCGTGGGGCCGGGGCAGCTCCAGCCCTGCGGCCGCGCTGCTGCGGCGCCGATGTGGCCGCGGTGTGTGACCCGAACCCAGCGCGGGGCCGCCCCCAGCCCTGCGCCCCGCCAGCGCCCCGACCCACAGGCACGTTCTGCCCCACGACCGCCCCGCGATGCCCACGGCACGGGATGGGACGGGGATGGCGATGGGGTGGGTCCGGGCCCCTCTCCCCCTCCCCGGCAGCGCTGACCCCCGCGTGGATGCCGAGGCGGGACCAGCCCGGGATCCCCGCGCGGCGGCACCGGCTCCCGGCCCCCGCCCTCCACGTGCGCCCACTGCCCACCGCCGCGGGGCCGGGGCTGACCCCCCCAGTCAGGGGAGCCCCCAGTGCTGACCCGGCCCCCGGCACGGCCGCTCCCGCCGCCCCCCGGGCTGGACGTGGCACGTGCCGGTGCCCGGCCGATGCCGGGGTCCCCGCGGCGTCGGAGTGGGGGCTGCCCCCGTGCCCCCGCTGCCGCCCGTGTCCCCCCGGTGCGTCCCGGTGCTCTCGGCTCCTACCTGTGCCGGCCGGCGGCCCGGGCACCGCTGTGGGCCGCGGCCGCGCCGGGGGCGAGCGGGGCGGCCCCGCCGGTGTAGAGGCTGTACCGGGGGGGAAAGTTGGCGGCCAGGGCCTGTGCGGCCAGGAGGCACGGCCAGAGCCAGGGGGCCATGCTGGGCTGGGGCGGCTCCGCTCGGCTCGGTCAGCCCGGTCCGGCGCGGCTCAGGAGCGCATAGGGTGTCCCGTCGCGGCTCCGCGGCTCTGGGCGGCTCGGCTCGGCACGGCTCGGCTCTGCCCTCCCCCCGGCCGCCCCTCGGCCAGCCCCTCGCCGCCAGGGCCGCCCCGCTGCCGCTGCCCGCCGGCGGGGTCCCCGGGGCCCCCCGCTTCCTGCCCACCGCCGCCCCCGCCGCGGCCGCGCCGGGCACCGCGGCCCCGCCGGCCCCGCCGCCGCCACATCTGCTCCTCGTTAGGCCGGGCCGGGGAAGCCAGAGGGGCCGGGCAGGGGGCCAGGGCGCGGGCGGCCAGCGGGGCGGCGGGGCTACCGCTGCGGTACCGCCACCAGCACTGCCACCGCCACCGGCACCGGCACCGCCTCGCACGGTGCCCCGCGTCTACCCGGCCGCCGGTGCCCCCGCCCCGCGCCTCTGCCCCGGGCACAGCCGCGGCAGGTCCCGGCACCGCATCCAGCACTGCCACGTCCCTGTGTCCCCGTGTCCCTGTGTCCCCGTGTCCCTGTGTCCCCGTGCCAGGTTACACGTCCCGGTGCCGAGCCAGGCGCTGCCCCGCGCCCCCAGCCCGACCCTGACACCGCGCTGAGGACACCGGGGGCACTGGAGCAGCCGGTGGTGACACCGCGGCCACCCAGGGCCACCGCGGTCCTAGGCCTGCGGTGACGCCGTGGCTTCCCCGGACCGCGCGGTGACGTCACGGCCTCCTGGTGACATCACGCCTTGGCTCCGACCCCACGGTGACGTCAGGGCGCGGGAACCCCCCGCCCTCGGGGAGCTGCGAGCGTGGGTTAAGCACAAACAGCTGCCGGCAGCTGGAGGGGGGAGGGGACGGGGAAGGGGACATGGGGGAAGAGGGACGCGGGGGTGGGGGACACGGGGCTGGGCTTGGCCAGGGCCCAGCAATGGGCTGTCCCCAAGGGGACGGTGTCGCCTTCTCTGTGCCCTCAGAGGCCGTGGGGGGCAGTGGGGGTCCCGCAGGGCTGTGGGGGGCCGAGGCCCTGCCGCGTCCCAGGGTACTCCAGCCAGTGCCGGGGATTTGCGGCCGAGCAGGGACAGTCAGTGGGGGTCCCGCTCTGCCCCAGCACAGCCGGGGGGCTCAGGGATGGGGACCAGGGTGGTGGCAGGACCCCGGGGGGACTCACTGCTGGGACTCCCCGGCTGCGGCCCATCCTGCACCCAGCCCAGTATGCCCCAATACACCTCAGTACACCTCGATACATCCCAATACACCCCGGTACACCCCACCACATCCCAGTACGTCCTCATCATCATCATGGCTGGGTTTCGCGAACGAGGATTTGGGAAGGGCTCTACCCACATTTGCTACAAGCGCGCTGGTGGCTAAAAAGGCCAATGCGAGACAGACAGGTCCGGTTACAAAAGGCACAGAGGAAAGACTCCTAGCACACCACAGTATACCCCCGCCCAGTACATAGCCCAGTATCCCTCACTACCTCCCAGTATACCCCAGTACAGCTCAGCACATCCCAGTACGTCCCAGCACAGCCCAGTACAGCCCGTCCCACCCCAGCCCCGCGGCCCTGCCCGCTGTCATCAGCTGTAATGAGCTGTCATTAGTGTCATTAGCGCTAATTAGCCGCGGTCGCCCCGGGGCTCCCCGCCCCGCCCCCCGCCGTGACCCCGCCCCCCGCCTCGCGCCGCGCCTTGTATGGAGAAGGAGCCGCCGCGGCTGCCAGGGGGCGGGGAGCGCCTGGGGGCGGGGCCAGGGGTAAAGGCCCCGCCTCCGCCAAGAGCCCCGCCCCGCCCGGGGCAGGCAGTGACGTCATCGCGCACTCGGGTACTGTGACGTCACAGCACAAGATAGGAGTGACTTCACCGCCAGGCCACGCCCCTCCCGCCGTGCCCCGCGGCCGGAAGTGACGCGCGGCGCGGGGAGACGTGTCGGAGCGGCGGGGCCGGAACGTGAGCGGGGGGAACACCCGGGGGACCGGGAGGGGACACCGGGAGGGGACAGGGACCGCGGGTGTGCCCGGGGGGGAAGGACCGACTGCGGGGGGCGAGGGGCCTGTAGCGGGGGGGGGGTCCCTGCGCGGTGCCAGCGTGTGTCCCCCCGCAGGATGATCACGGACGTGCAGCTCGCCATTTTCGCCAACATGCTGGGCGTCTCGCTCTTCCTCCTCGTCGTGCTGTACCACTACGTGGCCGTGAACAACCCCAAGAAGCAGGAGTGAGGGGACCCCCGAAAGCCCCGGCAGCGCTCCCCGCCCGCCCTCCGTCCCTCCGGGCCGCACGCGATGCCCCGGCCGCGCTGGGCGCGGGGCCGCGAGAGGCGCCAGGCCGAGCTTATTCCAAACCGGTTTTAAAGGAAACACGATGATACAAGACTAAACAGTGTGACGTCGTAAAAGCCCCGGACCCCTCCGCCAGGCCCGCGGGGAGGGCCGGGGCGGGTGCGAGGGGAGCCCCCGGCCTGGGGCTCAGCGCAGCAGGAGAGGAGCTGCCGGCAGGAGCTGGGCCAGGGGGGGCCGGTGGGCAGGGGCCGCGGTGGGGCACGGCGGGGCCGGGGGGGCCGCAGCCCCCTCTCCAGCGCCGCAGCCCTTGCCCGAGTGCGGCCGGCACGGGGCCGAGCAGGGCCAGGGGCCCCCGGGCTGCGCCACAGCCCCCCGGAGCCGCGGGGCCGTACCTGGGGCCGCGGGCCCCTGCCCCGGCACGGGAAGGGTCCCTCGGCGCTCAGCACCCCCCCGGGGGGCACGGGGGCCTCCGGGCAGAGCCCTGTGGGACAGAGACCGACGTCAGCAGGGCACGGGGCTCCCGCGGGCCCTTGTGCACCGACAGCCCCAGGCCTGAGGGTGTTGGGGTCCCAGCCCCCCCACCTGGCGGGGGCTTCGCTCAGGGCTCCCACCACCCCCTCGTCGGCATGGGCTCTGGGGTGACACCACCCACAGCACCTACCCAGGCCGCTCCAGGGCTCTCCGGGCGTTCAGCTTCATCGGGAGCACCTGCGGGAGGGGGGCACAGGGGAGAAGAGGGTTGGTGCCAGGAGGGGTCTTTGTCCCCAGCTGTACAGGAGCTCCCTGGGGCTGCGGGGGTCGCACGGAGCTGGACCCCTGCCCCTGGGGTGTCCACACGGTTTCGGGAGGGCACTTGGGGCAGAAACACCTGGCAGAGCCCCACGGCTCGGGGGGCTCCCAGCCCTAGGGGCAGCCCCACAGAGGTATTCCCCCAAAGGTGTTGCCCCAGGCACCCCCAGGCCTGGCTAGCAGAGCCGTGGGCAGCCCTGGGTCCCCTCCCTGCAGTGCCCCCGGTACCTGCAGCAGTGCTGTGCCCTGGAGCTCTCCCACACCTTGCTGGGCCTCCTGCGGTCCGTGGCTGGTGCGTGGCATTACCTGGGTGCCCACAGGCAGGGTCCCTGTGTGACAGAGGAGACAGAGCTCAGCCCGTGTTGGTGACAAGCTGTGTGCCATGGTGGGGGCACGGAGCCATCACAGGGCACCTTGGCACGGCCTGGTGACACCATTCCCACAGTAGCAGTGGGCACAGAGTCCCCCTCCCTGCCAGCCTTGCCAGGGCCAGGCCCCCCTGCACAGCTCAACACCGAGGGCCATCCTGGCAGTGGCCAGTGCTGGAGGGAGGATGTAATGGGCACAGAGCTCAATCCCAGCCCTGCTGGTGCAACGGGCTTTACCCTGGCCAGGCCTGGTGGTCCCATAAATCACTGCCCCTGGCTCCAGCCAAGTCTCCTGTGGCACTGGTGTGACCATGCTGGCCAGATCTGGCTGGCAATGAGGACCTGGGGGGCACAGCTCTGGAGCAGGGACACAGCTCCAGACCAGGGGATGTCCTGGATCATGGGACACCCGCTCAGCCAGGAAAGCTGGGTGGGAGAAAGGGGGGCCTTTGGGGGCCTGGCTGTGGTTGGCCATGCTGAAGGAATACCTGAGTCACCTCAGCTCTGCTCCCAGTTTCAGCTCTCCCAGTTAAACTGTCTTTATCCCAACCCAGGAGTTCTCTCCCCATCCCACTGGGGAAGCAAGCAAGTGGCAGAGAGGCTGTGCTGCCCACTGGGGTGAAGCCAGAGCTGTGTCCCGTGGGGGTTGGACAAGGTGTCCAACAGCCAAGGTAGCCGTGAACAGCCACAGACCCTGCAGCAAACGAGACCCTGCAAGCAGGAGCCTGTGCTGGGCAGGATATGCCAAAGCCACTGGTGCCAGTGGGAGGTACTGAAAAGCAACAGCTGACTTCACCTGGGCCAAACCAGCATAAATTCAGTGACCAACCCCAGACAGCAAAGGCCAACAGCAGCCAAGGGGAGTCACTGGGGGTCTGGCAGAGACCTGGCACACTGACCTCCCTGGGGTGTGGCCAGGCTGGAGCGGGAACTAGGAAGGAAGTGGAAGGATGGGACAAGACCAGGATCTTCATCCAAGTAACAGGATCTTCACCCCGTGCCATCCAGCCCCCAACCCATCACAGGTTCTGAGCGTTCCCGGTTCCTTCCCAGCTGCCTGGGAAGCAGAGGCTGGGATGGCACAGCTGGGGGTGCCAGTGCAGGGCTCGGAAGGCAAAGCCACGGGGGCAGAGCATCCCCAGGCCATGATCCCTGTGCAGACCCGAAGGAACAGACGGAACAACGTGCCCATGAGAACATCAGCCTTTTATTTCCTCCCACCACGTTCTCATGGCAGACAAGACACAGTCACAACAGAGGGCTGGGCAGCAAACCCCGAGGACAACACAACAGACACGGCAGAACTCGACACAAGCACAGCTTCAGGCACACCCAGTCACACCGGCAGCCCCGCCCCGGCTCCGGGCTCTGCGGGGCAGGGGATGGGAGCAGGGGCCTCCGGGGCTTCCCCTGCTGGCCAGCTGAGGCACCGGACCCCCGAGGGGCCTGGATTGGCACTGCCTGCCCCCTGCGGCCCTGAACCCCTGCCCCACGGCGAGAACACCAGCATGGGGGGCACAGCCAGCGCCTCGCCTGGTTTTGGCACTCCACTGCAGTACATCAACCCAAGAGGACTCACCATGTGTTGGAAGCCCCCAGTGCCTCATGCCAGCCCTGCCAGCCCACCTCCCCACAGCCACAGCCAAGGCCACAACCTACTGCTGCCCAGCCAGTGTCTGGGAAGGGGAAAGGCACTTTGGTGTGTCCCCACTGGCCTTTGGAATGCTTTGGGAGCGGCAGGAAGTCAAGCAGAGGTTTTCTGTGCTGGCTTCTCCAGAAGCCTCAGAGGCCCCACACTTAAGGGAGGGTATCTCCCCACTGCCCCAGTGGCTGGGATCCCCCTCATCCCAATGGAGCAGCAGCAGCTCCTGCCCGGCCGGGGCTGCAGGACTGTGGGGTGGGCCGGAGGGGCCACAGGTCTCCCTGCCCAGGGCTGCCCCATGGGGATGAAACCCCTCACGCTCACAGTTCCACACAAACCCACTGTCACGCTGTCCCAGCCCAGGTCGGGCTGGCTCCGAGCTCCCTCAGGGCCGTGGCCCCGCGCAGCAGCTCGACAGGCGCCGGAGCAGGCGCGCCAGGGGTCCCCAGCCCGGCTTACCTCTGCCCGGGGCCGGGGCGCCGCCGCCGCTCGGGGGGCTCGGGGGGGCCGTGGCCGCAGCCGGGGGCCTGGGGCTGCCGAAGGTGAAGCTGGGGGAGGCCCGGATCCGCGGGGAATCCTGCTGGCTGCCCCCGCTCCCGCTGGTGCCGTTGCTGAAGCTCCTGGTGCGGGCCAGGGAGTTGTCAGAGGCCGAGGTGGGCAGCCCACTGCGGGGGTGAGAGATGGGGGTCAGCCTGGTGTGGCAGGGGGGGTTCCCCTCTGCGCCCCCCACCCACTGTCCCAGCCCAGCCCTGAGCACAGGGTGGCTGTGGCCGAGGCACCACCTCTGGCAGAGCCCTGGACTGGTGAGCAGCTGGGGGCAGGGGTGTCACCAAGGCTGCCCCTGAGAGCTGCAGCCCCAGTGTCCCATGTCGTACGTCACTGTCCCAGCAGTGTTGTCACAGGATTCTCACTCCCTCGCCCCCAGACACAAATCATAGTATCACTGAGGTTGGAAAAGCCCTCAGAGACCATCAGGTCCAACTGTTCCCCCACCACTGTTATGCTACCACTAACCCACCTCCCCAAAGCTTTTAAATCCTTCCAGGCATGGGGACTCCACCACTGTCCTGGGCAGCTCTGCCAGGGCTGGACAGCCCTTTCCATGAAGAAATTGTTCCCAATATCCAACCTGAACCTCCCCTGGTCCCTTCCTCTTGTCCTGTACCTTGTTCCCCAGGGGCAGAGCTTGACCCACCCCACCCATCTCCACCCTCCTGCAGAGAGTGAGAAGGCCCCCCCGAGCCTTCTTTTCTCCAGGCTGAGACTCCTAAATCCCTCAGCCCCCTCCATCCCAGTCCAGTGCTAGAGGGGATGCAGAAAAGACACTTTCCAGGCTACTGGGCCAGGTGAATCCCAACCAATGTCACCCCTGCCCCTTTCCCCACCAACAGCTCGGAGCACAGGGACCGACACCTGCAGCTCCTGGAGCTCTGCAGGGCCAGGCCCCGGCCGAGCAGGTGACCCTGGCAGGTGACTCACTTGGGGACATTTATCATCTCTAAGTGCTGTAATCCTGCAGCTCCCACGCTCGCCCCAGCCGGCCCTTACGTGGAGCTCCTGGGGGGGGTCCCGGCCCCTTCTCTCCTCCGCGGGCCCCCCCCGGCGCCGCGCAGCCCCCGCACGTGCTTCAGCATCCAGGCCCGCAGGTTGCCCAGGCAGGTGTGCTCCGACAGCACGATCCGCGGCCACGGGTTACACTCGGCCATGTCCAGCGCCGCCACCGCCACCGCCCGGCCCACCTGCACGGCACGGGGCAGTGAGGGGACATGGGGGCACACAGCCCGGCCCACCTGCACGGCACGGGGCAGTGAGGGGGACAGGGGGGGACACGGCACGGCCCACCTGCACGGCACAGGGCAGTGAGGGGACACAGGGGCACACGGCCCGGCCCACCTGCACGGCACAGGGCAGTGAGGGGGACATGGGGGCACACAGCCCGGCCCACCTGCACGGCACGGGGCAGTGACGGGGGCACACAGCCCGGCCCACCTGCACGGCACAGGGCAGTGAGGGGACATGGGGGCACACAGCCCGGCCCACCTGCATGGCACAGGGCAGTGACGGGGGCACACAGCCCGGCCCACCTGCACGGCACAGGGCAGTGAGGGGACACAGGGGCACACGGCCCGGCCCACCTGCACGGCACAGGGCAGTGAGGGGGGCACGGGGGCACACAGCCCGGCCCACCTGCACGGCACAGGGCAGTGAGGGGGGCACGGGGGCACACAGCCCGGCCCACCTGCACGGCACAGGGTATGGTGAGGGGGCACGGGGGCACACAGCCCGGCCCACCTGCACG